TACTTGATTTGCCAAAAAAGGCAATAAAGAAAATTGTGTTATATATAGACAAGCTGAAGATTAACAGCAAAAATTTAGTATTTTATTAACTTAACCCTGAAAAGACAAAGATTTTCAGTTTACCGATCTTTCTCAAATATAATTAGCAAAATAATTTATTCTTGCATTGCAGATAACATTATGTTGACTTATAGCTATTTAAAAAAATATGTTACACAATTCTGGCTGAAATCAACATGAAATGTGTCATTTGCTCTGGCTGTATATTATTCCCTCTATAATTGTCTTTTGACAAATGACAGTCTTTTTATTCAGCTGCTCAAATCTCCATATGTTTGTGCATCCCCAAATAAAGCCCATGGATTTTAACAGGATTAGTCTCCAAACTGGCTACACTTGTGTTCCCAGAGTGATCCATCTGGGGATCCAGCCAACAACAACAAAAAAAGACTTCCTATTTTGATAAGGCTTTTAAATGTCTTTTAAAGCATTCAGTAATACACATGTTGTGCAAAGCTGAACTTCTTTGACAGATATTACCCACTGAATGAGGAAAAATCAGGCATGAAGTGAGTCTTCACTGTGTTTCCCCTATGCTGCACACACATCACGTGATAGCTGTAAAAGGCTTTTGTTTTGTTTTCACCTTTGTAAAAACTTGAGGAACTTGAGGCCAGCACAGAGTTATGATTCCTTATAGCCACAGTTCAATATAATGCATACTCAATTAGAAACTCCACGTTTATACAATAGTTCCTCAAATACTTGCTGCTTCAGGCTAGTATTGTGATTCTTAATGTCATGCAGATGATTTTGTAAGCTGAAAGAATCCATCCATGCTATAACAACAATTATCCAACTTTTTATAATAGCATCTGTATGTGTAACATACTTACTAGTTATTTCCTTCTGATATTTTCTTTCTGTGGAAGTTAATAATAGTCTTTGTGGCAACCTGTGGTCTTGTGCAGTGCTCCCTGAAGATGTGACCTTATGTCAACATGGCTCTAAGGGCGAGTGTGTGCACTCTGTGCCATACAGGGTTCATCTGTGACACTCACTGCATGATCTGGCTCAAATAAATCTCAACATAATCATGGAAAGTTTTGCTGTTCATTCCAAAAAAGAGCTGTGGAGACAGAAACACTGAGCTCCATATTCAGAGCCAAACAGACAGCAGCCCGGGTGGGGAAAGAGTGGTGAGGGGGAGTTGTTTGTTTGTTTGAATTGGATGTGAATGGTATTCCTGAGCTGCATTTGGAGCCCTGGCACCCTAAGGCTGATGAATTATTCCTCCTGCTGTGGGCAGCCTTGGCAAGGCCTTAGCTGGAATACTACTATGTCCAGTTTTGTGCAGTGCTTTCCAAAAAACAGTGTGGCCCATTTGGCAAAAACCCGGAGGCGAGCTACAGGAATCACAGGAGGTCTCAGGAACATGACCTAAAAAGAGAGATCCAGGACTGCCCAGACTGGAGATGGGAAAATAGTAGAAAAACAATAACACAGCAACTTCGACCAAAAAAGTAGTTTAAAAAAAAATAAGCAAGATGCTTAACCTGTAGAAGACGTTTAGTCAGACAGTATGAAAATCATGCCAAAGGAGAAGGGCAGCTTAGACAAACTGATTTGTCCCTGCCCTGAACGAGCTGCCCGCAGCCCGGGGGTCACTGCGGGAGTGCCTTGGGCAAGGAATACCTAGGAAGCTCCTCCCAGGGGGGATTTGCTGCTTGTACTGACACCAGGGCACATCCTGCATGACTTGTGCTGACGAGTAAACCCGCACCGCGGCTGTGGTGCTTCCACGCCACCGGCGGGTCTGTCCGCACTCCGGCTGATGCGGCCGCGCCGAGAGCAGAGGCCAGGGCCGGGTGCCCCGGGGCCGCGGCGGGGCCGGGCGGGGCGGGGAGGCCCCACAGCCGGTTCCCTCTTTGCCCGGCGTGTGATTGGCGGCGGCTCCGGAGCTGCCTCTCCCGCCGGCCATGGAGCCTCCCCGCCGGCCCTCGGCCCGCGCCGCTTCCTGCTGAGGCGAACACCTGTCCGGAGCCGGGGCCGGGGCCGCCGCTGCGGTGAGTAGCTCCGTGCCGGGGGGGTCGCGGCGGACCCCGCCCCAGGCCGGCCCTGCCGGAGGCCCGGGCGCGCAGGTGGCGGTGCAGCTCCGCTCCCCGCGGCGGCCACGGGCGGACCTGCCCGGCCCCGCGCCCGCCGCAGGGCGCCCCCGGCCCCGGCAGTCCGGGCGCGGCGAGGTTCGCCCTCCCGCGGGCGCTGCGGGCGGCGCCGGCCGCCATCTCGGGGCTCGGGCGGTGGGCCGGGGGAGGGAGGGAGGGAGGAAGGGAGGTAGCCCCGGCTCCATCCCGCCGTTCCCGAGCTCGGGGCCTCTTCCCGCAGGGCATGTGCGTCTGGTTGGGGTCGCCCCGCGGTCCCCGCTGCCCCCGGCGCTGCTGAGCCCCCCGAGCTGCCCGGTCCCGCGCGGCCTCGGTCCCGCTTCACGTCACGTCATGGCCCAAACAGGAGTTACGGAGTTTGATGGAAAAGCCACCGAGGAAGCTGTTGGAACGTTCAATGAAACAATGCGAAGCGAAGGATCACATTAGACAGTGGCAGCAGTTCCCTCGGGTCTTAAGATCTGTGAGTCAGCTCCGCTTTTAAACAGTAAATAACTGTATTTCCTCATCCAGCAAATAGTAGCCTCTTGTGTCTGTCTGGTACATGCAGACCATGAAACCTTACCGCGCCACAAATCGTCTGAAATAATAGCTGAGGGCATTCGGGAACTGGTTGTTGGTGTCGGTCAGATCACGGCGTTGGGAATCAGCGTTGGGCACAAACTGACAGGACAGGCAGTGTCCAAGCGGCGAGCGTGTCCCAGCAGGAACCATAGCTGCCATCTCCGTGTTTCCAAACTCGGTGAAGTGTTGCTTTGAAGGTAGATTATCTATGGCTTGTGTAACGCCAGTTAACTAGAACTTGGCTGAAATCCTTACCTAAATTTTCGGAGCTGGACAGAAGTTACTGTTTGTTCCAGAATCGGCCCCAAATAGATAACTCATGTAGAAACCAAAATATGCAAAGGTCTGTAGTGAAGGCAGGAGGAGCCTGAAAGTGATACAGCTGTAATAGCAGTCTGATTGACTAACAATCTCTGGACCAAGCTGTATCTGCTGATTTGTATACTTTTGGATGAGAAATGTGACCGCATTACCTGTGAAGTTTACTTGCAAATGGGAACCTGCACTGATTTAATTCCCATGAGAGCTAGTAGTTGCTAGAGGATCTGACAAACTGAGCAAAGTGGGTTTTTGTTGTTGCGTTCATCCTTAATATGTTAGTGGTGTATCTTACCTGCACAGTTCAGCGCTGGATCACCAGCAGGTGTAGGGAAGATGTATTTTATTCCTGTCCAGCAAATGCAAAGTTGTCTCCTGCTATAGGACAGTGCAGGCAAGTAGATGTAGTATGCTGCTCAGAAAGCTTTGGGTCGTGTCATGATAGTTTTGGGGTTTTTTTTTAAACTTATTTTTTATGTTAACTTTGTCTAAAATTGTGAACATAAAAACCGTGGAGGTGTTTAAGAAGAGACTGGATGTGGCACTTAGTGCCGTGGTCTAGTAGATGAGGTGGTGTTGGGTCAAAGGTTGGACTCGATGATCTCACAGGTCTTTTCCAACCTAGTTGATTCTGTGATTGTTATATTGGCACAATGTACACACGAGGTAATTCCTACTCTGGTAGAGGGTGCTTATTTTCTTGCAGGTTAAGTTGCCTGGGAAGGAGTTCACACTAAAGTGAAAAGAATAATTTTAAAATAAGGTTTCCACATGATGGATTAAACCAGAAGCAGGAGGTAATGTAGAATAAGCATAATAGTAACCAGCAGAACTTTAATGCAGTCCTAACAGAGCAGTGAAGACTGACAGCTGTCCTGAATTTCTTCTAGCTGAATATATGAAGTAATTCATCATAATACCACATTGTCTTTTCAAAGCGCCTTTCATCCAGTGTTTTCAAATCATTTAACAAGTTTACTCATTAATTTATCTCCTAATTCTGCTGTGAATCATGTTTCAACTGTGCTGGCTCCATTCCTTTCCCTTCTCTTCCCTCACTACCCTACCACTCCTGCAAGTGATGAGTCAGATAAAGGAACTGATCCAGCTGAAAATTAACCAAATTTTTTGTTGTTCTTGTTATGGTCAGATTGCTGACCTGGGTGAAGAGATAGGAGCAAACTGGAGACAAAGGCAAGGCTGTTTACTTGCCTTGGTTACCTTCTACAGACCCACCTCCTCCTGCTCCATTGCACCGCATCAAGATTTGTGGACCAGTGGTAGGACAGTTCTCTTAATACAGGGATATTCAAGGTTGATGAGGCTCATTAGAATTAGAAATAAAAAAATGGGTTTTTTTCTCCCTTTTTTGGGGGTGTTGTTGCGGTAGACATATAGAATTGTCAACACTGTAGGTAAAGCTTTGGCATGACAAAGGTTTTAGGAACTTATTTTAAATGATTTAACATCAAAGTTTTATGACACATATGCGTGAGGCGAGATGGTTTTCCCAACACATAGATTAGCTGAGAATGGATATAGTTTGGTGTCACCTTAAGGACACTTTTATGTCTGTCACTGCAGAGATGGATAAGAGACAATCGTCTCTCCAAGAACTGCCTTCTGAAGCTAATGAAAAGGGACCAGAGCACAACTGGAGATGGAAATTGGATTGGGCTGGACTAGACATGACAGGTCACAGCTCAAATGAATTTGGGAGAAAAGACAGCCTTGTATAGGCAGGGCAGCTATAGAAGTGCCACGCATTTTGTGCTGTATCCTGATGCAATTTGGGGAGGAATATCTGAATCTTTCACTGTGTTGCACTACCTGCCTTTGTAAGTGGATGAGAGTGTGAAACAGCTGCATTTGTTGCGCATTGTGCAGCATAGCTCTCTGCTGCATAAGGTAGAGATGCTGCCTTTGATTGTCTTGACGGTCTCGATCAGTGGAGTAGTGCTGGAAGAGCTTAGCAGAAGATGGACTGTTTGTTGTATATGTGTTTGAAAAATTAGTCCTTGGGTGCATAGCACATAGCAGCAACCTGAGGACATTTTAAATCTGGACGCTTTCTTAGATTTGCAGAACCTAATGAAACTGAAATGAGTCCAGATTTACTTATATAAGGGCAGAATAATGACTTTAAAACAAGGGCTATGCAGCCTGTTGGCATGAAAAAATCCTTGATGCCAGTTGCTTATGTTTAAATGAAGAAAAATATGTGACTACATTGTATTTTAGAAATTATACAATGTGAGAGAGGAACGCAGTGTGTAGTTCTGAGATGCCACAGAGACTGTGGCTGATGAATGCTGACAGGCTGCACATGGGTGGAGGATGAGTGTTGGAAGTGTCTTGGCCAAGATGAGTAGATTCCACGTCAGTGACAAAATGTTCAGGGTAACTTCGCCACTGCTATGAGAAAATTCAAATACTGGCTTTAAAAGGTAAAAGGAGCTGCGACAAAGTGTGTTTCCCCCAAAGTCACTTCCTGAGAAAAATATCTTCTAAAAACAAATCAATCTTGATTGCCAAGCAGAATGATTCTCTGAGAAAGAAGAGCTGTGTGTATGGGGAAGTGCATTTTTCTGTTTTTTAACCCCTGTAAAATGTTAATTTCAGAGGTTGAGAATGGCACACTGGAGACATGTAAGAGGCTGTCAGATTTTTTCACCAATGCAGAGGGAGGGTTATTTTTCACTTTTTAATAAAAAGTGTCTTACAAATAGGAAGTGTGAATATGTTAAAGAAAAGGAAAAGGCACCACCAACTTCACTGTTGTTAAAAGACCTTTCAGTTGTTTCATATTTTTTTCTTCCTTCTCAAGAGTCATAATTTTTGTAGGATATGTACCAGTGTAGGATATATACTACTTGTTGTTCTTCAAAATGGTCAGTATTTCACTGGAAGAGTCATAAGGAAAAAGGATACAATTAGAATTTTTTCTGTCTTTTCTTTCTGTTATGACCATGTTTTCCCAAATATTTTTTTCTGTGGGCATTTTTTTTAGTAAAGGAACAGCTCTTCAGGTTATAGTTAACCACAAGACTTAGAGTTGGAAGTATGTGGTTTATTTTCTTTCTGAATCTTAAGTCATCATTTCTAGTGGATTTCACTGTGTGTTTGTAATCATAAATGAACGAGTTAAAAATACTAGGGCTAAGATTGCCCAGCAGTTCTACTGCTGACGTTACCATGCAAGGTCCTCGGCAGATACAACATCCACGTGATGCCCGTACAGAGACTGGCTTAAAAAACTCTAGTGAATTTAAGTTGATAACCTCAAACAGCTGTCACCATGAAAATAAAAGTAATGAAACATTGCAGATTTAGTTGTCTTTTATCTAGTATTGGTATTTAACTCTTATATAAAGTAATCTCTCAAAAATGTATTGGTTTTAAATGTTTTATTTGAATTCATTACATTTATTGCCCAGATTATTCTTTGCTATTTTTAAAAGGATTTAGGCATGTCTTCTATGCATGTGTGTTAAATTGGTGTACTGTTGGTGTATTTTTGCTGTTATAACAGGAAAAGCATTCTGACTTCTTTTAAAATGAGCAATCGTATGTATAAGCAACTTGGTTAAAACTTCCTTCCTGGTAAGTGCAGCACTTCCTTTGCATCTGGATATGAGGGCAAGCAAGAAAAGCAGAACAGCTTAAACAAAGAAACGTTTTGTGTGAATGATCTTCCACTAAAAAAATAGGAACTTCAAAAATTAAACAAATGAGTCGTCTTCGGCAATTCAGCCTTTGTTTTATAAGCAGGTAATATTTCCTTCTACTTTGTCAATTATAGAGGTGGCGTGACCACATTCACTGTGTTCCGGAACTTGAAAAAAGAATTTTAGTTAGCATGCTGTGTTGCTTCAGTTTAAACTTTTACATTTTTATCTGCTTGTTTTATTATCTGCTAAGGCATCATTACACCGATTTTACTTTTCTCCAGCAGATAGAGAAAGATTTTCTGTGTAGAAAGTGTTGTTTGGAAAGGAAGTTCAGTATGTTGTGGTAGCTTGGCTTGTGCGAGTGTGCTCAATCAGCACTGCTTTCCGCTTTCAAGCTCTCGGTGAATAATTTCCACTTCAATATTGTTCAATGGAGATTGACTGAGAGCAACAATATATTTTGTTTACTGAATGCTAATAAGGTAGGCTACTTATGTTTGATATTGTTTTAGGTGTGATTTGATGTATAGGGTAATAAATTTGCATCAGCTTGGGAGATTTTTCTTCTGTAATAAACTGTTAGTTCATACTGGAAGTGTGTACTTTGGAAATGGATGGATGTTCTCAGTCTGGTGAATTGATTTATTCAAAAGAAGCATATCTAAGGACACTAGCCTTGAATTTAGATGCATGTTAAATATCTGTCTTCAGAAATAGTTCCTGACTTTTGAATCCTAAGGGCTGTTTTTAGGTGGAAGTCCTGATTCTTCATCAGTTAAAAGAGACAGTGGAAACTGGGAATAAGCTCATGTCTGTCCAGTCTGCAAATATTGCAATTTTTGTTACTTTCTGCCATTCCTGGAGCTCAGTGAGATCGTGTTCTGCTCATACACGAGAGTGTGTCTTTTGATTTCTATGTAATCCACTTGTGTTAACATCAACACCATCAAACAGATGAGGCCGCAGAAGAATCAGTGCTTGATCAAATAGAAGCAAGAACAAATCAGTGTGGAGGTCGTGCACTCAGACTGCTTATCCTCAGTAAAATCTGGGAAGGATGTCTAAAAGCTCCATTTTAATTATTTAATCACTGTAGAGTTGGTTGTTGGGTTTTTTTTAATTTATATTTTGTATTGAATTGAATAGACTACATCTGAGTTGATCCATGTAAATCAAGTATTTGTGACTAGAAATTAAGGGGAAGCAGAAATATGGTAAGTGTATACATGGCAGGATTCTGACTGGCCTATGATTTTAATTAGCAAGACTTAAAAAATTAAAGATAAATGTAAATGAAAAAGTAATCAAGAATTTGTATGTTTTGCTAGATTTCTTCTGGCATGGAGTTGGGGGATCATGAACAGCCTGTTGTTATGAGAGAGGAAAACAAACGAAGGAGAAGAAGAATGAAACCTCATTGTACATCGAGTAGTTTTTCATCAATGGAACTGATATCCATCGAGTTCGTTTTACCTACAAGCAATAAACATACTAAAGTACCAGAAATGATGTTACTTGAAATAGCTGGCAACTGTACGGTTGAGCAAATGAAGGCTCAGATTTGGATGCGTGCAATAGAGATGAGTCAAACCACAGACTTCTACCATGCATTCACCCCAGATCAGTTTGTCCTGCAGTATCAGAAGAAAGGGCAATGGTATGAAATTTATGATAAACACCAAGTATTGCAGACACTGGACTGCATACTGTACTGGAAAGTGTTACAGAAAAAGGTAGGCAAGATTTACGTTGTCCAGAAACAAAAACCATCAGAAGAAGTTCAGGAATTTCAGCGGCAGCTTAACGATTTAATTGGTTATGATGTCACTGATGTAAGCAATGTGCATGATGATGAGCTAGAATTTACCCGTCGCAGATTAGTCACTCCACGAATGATAGAGGTAGCCTGCAGAGATCCTAAATTGTACGCAATGCACCCATGGACTACATCTAAGCCACTCCCAGAATATTTATTTAAAAAGATCACTAATAATAACATTTTCATAATCATACATAGGGGAACAACTAGTCAAAAAATTAAAGTGTCAATAGATGACACTCCAGATATGATTCTTCACAGCTTTTTCACCAAAATGGCAAAGAAAAAATCTTTGATGGACATTCCTGAAGATCATAGCGAGCTGGATTTTGTTCTCAGGGTTTGTGGCAGAGATGAGTACATTATTGGAGAGACACCAATCAAAGATTTTCACTGGATAAGACAGTGCCTTAAGAATGGGGAAGAAATCCACCTTGTCCTAGACAATCCCCCTGACCCGAATGAGGATGAGGTTCAGAAGGAAGAATGGCCCTTGGTGGATGACTGTACAGGAGTTACAGGTTATCACGAACAATTGACAATAGATGGAAAAGACCATGAGAGAGTTTTCACTATCTCATTGTGGGATTGTAATAGGAAATTTAGGGTGAAAATAGTTGGCATTGATATTCCAGTTTTACCAAGAAATACTGATCTTACTGTGTTTGTGGAAGCTAACATTCAGCATGGGCAGCAGCTCCTTTCACAGAGGAGAACTTCATCGAAGCCTTTTACTGAGGAGGTTCTATGGAATATTTGGCTGGAGTTTGATATCAAAATTAAGGATTTGCCTAAAGGAGCACTTCTGAATCTTCAGATATACTGTGGCAAAGCACAGGGGCCTTCCACAAAGACGAACCTTCAGTCACATGAATCCTCCAACTCTGATACAAAATGCAAAACCCAGCTTCTCTATTATGTAAATCTTTTGTTGATAGATCACCGTTTCTTGCTACGAAGTGGGGAGTACGTGCTCCACATGTGGAAAATTCCAGGCAAGGGTGAAGAACAAGGAAGTATCAATGCAGACAAACTCACATCAGCAACTAACCCAGATAAAGAAAACTCAATGGCTATCTCTATTGTGCTGGACAAATATTGTCACCCAATTGCCTTGCCCAAGCACAGGATAGCATCAGACCCCCAAGGGGACAGGACCCGAGCTGAAATGCCCAACCAGCTTCGCAAACAACTTGAAGAGATCATAGCAACTGACCCACTTAATCCACTTTCTCCTGAGGACAAAGAACTGTTGTGGCACTTCAGATATGAAAGCATAAAGCACCCCAAGGCATATCCTAAGCTGCTTAGCTCTGTGAAATGGGGACAACAAGAAATAGTGGCCAAAACATACCAGTTGCTAGCTAAAAAAGAGGTTTGGGATCAGAGCACTTTAGATGTTGGACTCACGATGCAACTTCTGGACTGTAACTTTTCAGATGAAAATGTCCGAGCAATGGCAGTTCAAAAACTGGAAAGTTTAGAAGATGATGATGTTCTTCATTATCTTTTACAGCTTGTGCAGGTAAGGTGTATTTGCATTCTTGAACTCTGCCTTGCAGGAATATTTGCATATCCCATCACGATTCTCATTTTTGTAGGTCTTATTAGTAATCCCTAAGTTTGAAGTCTTCAGGGTTTAGTCAAAGCAGTGGTAGTAACCAGGTTAACACAAAATATACTTTTCTTCTTCTTGTGTTTTGCTTGTGTCATTGTTTCTGTGTTACCATTGCCTTTTGTCTTACAATTTGCATCTTGTGTTTACAGTAGTAAGTTTTTCTGAAAATTGTTAATGCCAGCAAAGCTGTGGTGGGAGTAAATCCTAACTGTGCTGTCTTTAAGCCTGTTCATATCAGGTCTGAATCACACAGCACTGAAGAGTTGTTGACCGACTTTACCAGTAGTTTAGAAAAAAGAATGTTGACAGAAAGTAAAGGCAGAGGTTGACATGGGCAAGGCCTGAAGAAAAATCTGGGGTTGAGTTTTAGGTCAAGAACACCAGTGTAGTTACACAGTATGTTGCAGACTTCAGTCTTGTTGTGTTAAGGGGACCAATTTTATTTAGAAGCTTCCAAAAAAAATTTTGAAAGTAATTAAAGAGTTGCTAGGACTACATAATAAGATTAAGTCATTCTGGGAACTTGGGTGAAAAATTGTGGTTTTAATGGCAATGCTGTATTGATTTGAAGTGCTTTGTGTGTGGATCTACCAGATGAAACGTTGGGAAGGTTTATATCAGCTATACGTGAACATTGGTTTGGTTGCTTTTTCTCAACACGATGCTGTCACTGGGCAGCAGCAAAGTCTCCTCTCCTCTAGTGACTGATGGAAGCTGTAACCCCGTGTTCTTCCTGGTGAGCCTGGCCCCTGAAGTCACGCGACTCCACAGGCTTTCTGCACCTGGCAGGGCTCTAGTTTGCGTGGAAAGGCTGTCGTCCCTCAGAGCAGGAAATACTTTTTTCAGAGAATCAGAGGACAAAGTTGGCATTCAAAATTCAAAAGAAAATAGAAATGGAACAGCTACAGCTGGGGAAGCTGCAGGATGGGGCTTTTAATTTCTGCGGGTTTAGAGAGCACCTGGGTTCCCAGGAAAATGGAAGTTAGTCGCTCAGATTTTGCTGCACATCAGTAGTGCTTTAAACAAAACCTTTCTAGCCTTGTATTTGCTTGTCTGAAGATTAGGCAGAATTTATGCACTTCTGCATTAACCAAACGAGTCGCTACGGTTACCTCATTGGGCCTCCCACATAGTTGCTGCTATATATATCTGCTTGGCTTGTGAGCTTTTGCTATCTACATGTGGCTCAGCAATTTTATTCACTTTTTTTGGTATCCAAATTAGGAGTTTGGGATGGTGATTGGTTGCTATCCAGATGCCTGAGAGAGTGGAGGAAGTACTGGGTTTTTTTCCATTTGTTTTTGAAATTGTTTGTTTTCAGAAAGTACAAATCTGGTGAGTTTTAAAAAGAATAAATCTCTCTAACAGTTAAATAAAGTACCATAGCATAAAATCATAGTGGCTTAACTTAGCTGTGTCATTTTTAGTAAGAGATGTAAGAAATTACAAGATAACTATCCTTAGGAAGGAAAAAAATGCTAGATTCCAACTTTCACCTCTCTGCTGCTGTCCTTGTCTTTGTTTCTCAGCTAACAGTGGAATGTAGGCTGTCAGCATCCTGCAGGAAAGCTTTGGTACCACAATGTATATAAAAATCTATGTTTTTCAGAGAATGGATGTCAGCCATTCCTTTACTTCAGTGGACACATCTGAAATGTCTATTTTGCAAATGGTCATCACCTTTCAAATGCATGCCTTTATGAAAGCTCTGTGGCTTATTGCCCTCTTTTTGCCTCCATTTTACCTTCTCCTAGAAATCAAGCAAGCGTTTTATTTCCCCCCAGGTTTATACCAAATAGAAGCAGCCACACCATAAATAAACCTATTTAGCTTCCTGCAATGGTCTGTCATTCTCTGTACAGTTGATAGAACATGGATAGGATAGTTAAAATGCAACAAAATCCTTTGTAAGACGAACACCAACAACTACAATGCATGATATGGCAGTGACTAAAGTTCTTGTGCTGAATTGACAAGGCAAAGATATGTGCAGGGACCTGATGAATTACCAGCAGACATCTTTTAATGGCCAGCTTTTGTTGTTGCTGTGCAAAAGTTGATGTTTCACTTTGTGAGGAAAAAAGAAAAATGGCCTTGACTTTTAAAAATAATTATTTCTAAAACATCAGCTTGATAAGGATGCTCATAATACATTTTTAATATTATTTTTTGAAAATATATTTGCAACTTTAATGAGGAGGCTTTGTTTTGGAGCAATGTTGGTTGTTTGGCTGTATTTCAGTCTTAAATTGTTTTTCAAGGACATGCATTGAGAACATTAAGCATAGTATATACCAGAATGAGGTTTTTAATAGGCTTCCTTGGAACTGTAAGCAAATCCATTTGAATTTATGTGATAGTTATTGCTGTTGGGCACCTTACTGCAGTGAAAATTAATTTTTATTAAAAACCCTCATACCTCCTAATCTCATACACAAAGTAAAAGGATCTATATATCATAAAATCAGTTTATGCTTGTGAATGCTTATCATCTTTCCTAAATAAGATGAAGTTGTTTGGGGAAATGGAACAGTATTGCGGAGGCAGTCAAGACAGTTCTTGCAGAATTATGATACAGGAGAAGGGCAAGTCTGGTGCTTGGCTTTCTTGTCTGTCTCTTAGCCAGCAGCTGGAAAGAACGTGTCTTTATGACCTTTTTCTAAGTTGGTTCATTCTAGAAGGTTGACTGAAAAAGCTTGATTTTTTTTCTGTTGAATAAACCCACAGGAAGATTTACATTTCAGAAATCATGTTGATATTTTAATAAAAAAGCAACTGTGTGCCACAGCACTTTTAAGAGTTTATAAAACTATGATTTGTTTGATGAATTTAGCAGACCTTTGCTGATGGCTTGGTTGCTTCTTTGCAAGCTGCAGACTGCAACGATCTTGAAAGAGCCATTATATTCTATTGAATAACTACTGCTAGAGGTTTGCATACTTAGTTGCTTCTGAAAGCTGAGCGTACTACATGCACCCGGCTCTCTGCGCATCCCTTTGTTTTCCTTTAATCTCCTTACAGGCTGCTTCCTGGCACTCTATTTCCAGAACCTGAAGCCATTCACCAACCCCCTCAGTCCATGACAGGATTTTCTGACTCTATTTCAGAGATTGTATGCATCTTATTTATTTTTCTTGCCATGGGATATACATGCATACTTTTTTTCCACCATTAATCTTAATACAAAGCTCTTATAAACATGAGTTCCTGAAGCAACAGAAAAGAAGTTGCTGGAAAAATGAGTTGAAATGGAGAAGTTCCCTGGCACAGCCCAGTATGTGGAGCGCGATAGTTTTCTGGAAGAGCAATTCATGTGGTTATTGGGTTGAAGAAGAGAATAACAGCAAAAAAGTTCCAATGCTGACACCTGAAAAGAATTGTTGACTTTTTTTCCACACGCTTTTTTGGCAGTAGCTTGGAAATGTCTTTGGGCTTGGGTGGAGGGGAGCAGCTTTTGGAAGAGAAAAAAATACATCTGTTCTCACAGAGTCATTAAAAAAAAAGCTCTGGTGAAGTCTTCCTCTTAATTGTACTCCATTAGTACAGGATGTGTATCAGAGCCTTTATTCTGTTATAAAGGGTTGGACTTGGTGATCTTTAACGTCTTTTCCAACCCAGTTGATTCTATGATTCTGTGATTCATTTAGGGGTTAAAGGCCAGATAGGTGCTCTGAGAAGCTGCTCCTGTATCTCATGCTTTCTGGAGAACCCAGCAGTGAACCCTGGGGCCTAACTCCTGAAGTAGCAGGTGTTGTCCAAAACCAGTACTTTATTATTGGTATTTTTATTGAAGAATGATTACAAATATGTTATTTTATCTGGCAGTAAAAATTTCAAGCATTCTCAGCATCAGTCAGAGTGCAGACTGTTTCCTGATCTTGCTAGCTTTTTCTACAGCCTGGGAATGATGTTGTTTTGTTCACATTCCTTCATGTGCTCAGTTCGGCCTCACTGGTTGTCACATTAATAATAAACCTGAAAAGAACCTGTTGCAAAGAAAAAGTGCTTCTTGAATGAGATACAGAGAAACCTCGAAAGGACTTGCTTTGTTACACATTTTCTACTCCTGCAGCAGTGTGTTCTGCAGATGTCAGCATAAGTGTAAGTGCATTGGGATCTTAAATGTGTTAATAACATGCCTTCTGTTTGTATTACTCAGGCTGTGAAATTTGAGCCATATCATGACAGCGCATTAGCCAGATTTCTGCTAAAACGTGGTTTGAGGGTAAGTACTTCAAAATACAGCCAACTTAAGCTGAAGTTGCTGGCATTATTAAAACCCTTTGTCAAGAAATATGTACTGATTGCAGTATTTTTCTTCACCACCAGAACAAAAGAATTGGTCACTTCTTGTTTTGGTTCTTGAGAAGCGAGATTGCCCAGTCCATGCATTACCAGCAGAGGTTTGCGGTCATCCTCGAGGCCTATCTCAGGGGCTGTGGGAAGGCGATGCTGCACGACTTCATGAAGCAGGTTCAAGTCATTGAATTGCTACACAAAGTCACAATGGAGATAAAATCAGTTTCTGCAGAAAAGTATGATGTTACTTCTCAAGGTATTTGCTAACAGGCATTTCTTTGTTGGTAATATTACTGTTTTTTCTCTTTGGGTTTGAAAAACTAGACAGCAAATTGTACTGTTTATTTAGAAAATTTGTGGATAAATTACTGTCAAAGGGCATAATTTTCTTTTAAAATGTGTGTGTAAGCTAATAATGATTAAACCTTCCCCCAGAAGGGGAAGAATATCAATGTTCTAGACATCCAGTGCTTTCCCATGCTTTGGCTTATCTTCTTGAACCTCACGCCATGCAACTGGCAAACAGCTAAGTTCTTGTACGTAACCCTTAGCTGAATGCCAGCACTGAAGAAAGAAACAATCCAGGACACAAATATCAACTGGAAATAAAAAGTGACACTTGCCAAGAAACACAACCTTACCCTAAGCTCTCACTAAAAGACTCTTGGCAAGAAGATGGTGGAGGAGTCCAGTACAGCTTCTGCTATGCCATGAAAGAAGCTGGTGGTGGATCAGGGCTGAATATACTGAGCATGTCTTTGAGGAGCATTTGTCCTGTGAGACACGGATGTGGTATTGTTATTTCTAGTTCTTGGAAGCACTGCTTTGGAAGCCACAGTAGGATCATGCAGTGCCTGCTTACCTCTGGGATTTGCCTGCCTTTCCCCCCCCAACTTCCTTGAAAGCTTGTCTATCATCATTCTTGTTACTTTCTTGGTGTTTGGGGTAAGTGCAAGAAGACATGATAATATTAAAACTCTTAAAGCTGTAGAGAGACTGCCTCTTCCCAAGTGTTCAGCCTGGGATGTTCCAGGCCAGGAATTCCTTGAATTGGAGAGCCTTTCCACCCTGGCTATGCAGAAGTGGGTGTGGTGGTGTTTCAAGAGAAAATTAAAGGAAATATGCATTTCAATATATTATGTAATATCTATTATGTTACCACATAGTATGAGTTAAGTGGCTTACTGAAGCCCCATATATAAAACATTGTTTCTAATCAACTTCCTAAATTTATCTTAAAATACTCCGTAACCTAAATGTATTTAGTCAGAATTCCGTATTTTGGAAAGAAATTTTACATCCTTGCAGATGTACATGTCTGTAACAGCAGTGGTTTCCATAATACATTATCTTTGAAGGATATGTGGGCAAAGAAGAAAAGTTTCAAGAGAAAGCAATCACATTAACACCCACGAGGTTTTGAAGTTAAAGAATCTTTGTATGTAATGTACAGCAGAACATTGAAAGATGACTTATATAATTGACATTTTCACTGAATAAGGCTTCCTGAAAATGTGGAGTGTCCTACTAATTCTATACGTAATGTAATTTATTCTCAGATTATTGAGGACATAATTTTTCCTACAAACCCCCTCTACTTCTTATGTTTTTAAAAATGTATATCCTAAAATTTATTCTTTAGGTTATTGCTTCTTTTTTACCTTGTCATTTCTATGTTCATCGTTGTTCATATTTTCAGTCTGAATGTTTTGTTCTGTTTCATTTCATTCTGTCATGCAGTCTAATTCTTGTATATATATGTTTCTTCCTCCAGTGTTTGTGGATTTTTTTTAAAGGATGAATTCCTTCCTATTAGGTCCATACTATTCCAGTAGCAATCATGCTGTCAAACTGTTTCTTTAACTTTTCATATAATCTCTTTGCTTATATTTGAACATAGCAAGTAATAATAAATAAATAAATAAATAAATAAATAAATTCTTATGATAATACTACTACATCTTTCATGGGATTGTCTGCTTTCATCACCACTGTGCTAGATAATTTGTTTCCCAGAAATGTGTCTGTGCAGCTGTTTCATCTCTTAAAATGCATAACACCTTGTTCTTAAGCCAGATCAACTTGAAAATTGTTTTAGCAAGTGCCATTACTTGTGTTTTAAAATCAGCTAATTCCTTATCTTTGTTTGCTTCAATTGGTTGGCCTACAGTTTTCAAATTACACTAATTACAATGAGGAGACTTACTGAAGTAAAGCTACATTTTTCTAGGAAATCTATAGTTACGTTTTAGATAGCTGTTTCATGACCCAAGTTACTACAACCTAGGTGGGGTTTTTTTGTGGGGGAGAGGATTTTGTTAGGGGTTTTATTTTTTTGGTTAATTGGTTTGGTTTTGGTTATTGTGGGTTTTGGTGGTTTTTTTGAAAAGTATCTAATTATAAAGTCCACTTAGTAGCTCCTGTGTATTGCTGTCAGATTTATTTTTTACCAGAAGAAAATGGTCACCAGGCACTGCTAGGTAGTTCTTTTGTAAAACCTTGTAGTTTATGTGTAACATTTGTGTTCTGTGAGTTCTTGGCTAATTCTTTTGGCTTGACTTTCTTAGTTTGATAGCAGCTCTTAAACTGTCTTCATTTTCTGTCAATGCGCATTCACAGCCCAAAAAGCCAAAGTATCCTGGGCTGCATCAAAAGCAGTGTGGGCAGCAGGTTGGGAGGGGTGATTCTGCCCCTCTTCTCTGCCCTTGTGACACCCCACCTGGATCACCGTGTCCAGAACAGACATGGACCTGCTGGAATGAGTCCAGAGGAGGGTCACAAAAATGATCAGAGGGCTGGAGCACCTCTCCTGAGGAAAGGCAGAGAGAGCTGGGGTTGTTCAGCCTGGAGAAGAGAAGGCTCTGGGGAGACCTTACAGCAGTCTTGCAGTACTTACAGGGAGTTTATAAAAAAGGTGGAGACAAACATTTTAGTAGGGCCTGCAGCAACAGGACAAGGGTTAATGGCTTTAAACTAAAGGAGGGTAGATTTGACTATGCATAGGGAAGACATTTTTTATGATGAGGGTGTTGGAACGCTGGAATAGGTTGCCCAGGGAAGTGGAGATGCCCCATGCCTGGAAATACTGAAGGTCAGGTTGGACAGAGCTCTGAGCAAGTTTTGTTGAAGATGTCCCTGCAGGTGGGTTGGACTAGATGGCCTTTCAAGGTCCCATCCAGCTCAAACTAAGCCATGATTCTATGATTATGATCCTCTTTTAAGTATCCAGGTCCATGTCTAGTTTTCTCAGTACAGTTTTTTTTGCTCTTTAATTTTTATCTCCAAAATTACTCGAACATGTATATGCATCCCCTGCTGTGTAGCTACAGTTTCTTTTAGAACAGTGTTCAGGTCTTCATCCTAATGCAGGGTAATAACCAGTGTATTGCTTGTGCTGCTAACACCGCTAGCTGAGATGAACAAAGTACATCATATGTTGTGTAATCTGTACTGTTCTGAGCTGAAGATTCAGAAGCTTGAAGTTTTATGAATTAAAAGATTGAGTTCAGATATGAACAGTAAAATTCTTGTTCATATATACATGCAGCAAATTTTCTTCTTACTGGAATGTGAGATTAACAGGGCTGCAGTATGAAACCAGTTTTAGGAGGATAGGAAATTCAGTACCTCTGTGTTGTCTCTTAACAAGAATTCAAAAGCCACGAGTGTCTGCATTTCTTGTCAGTTATAAGGGCAAAGTATTTTTGTGTGTTCTACTGTGTTTTGTTTTTTAAATGAAAGCTGACATTTTAATGTAATCTCTTGAGTTTTCAGAAGGACACCAAGTACTATGCAGTGCTTCTAACACTGCAGAGAAAGCACACGACTTGTGTGGTGCTTGAAGACTTTAGGTATCTGAAACAACCCTGACCATTGATAGTGCAAGTTAAAGAGTCTTCCTCCATTCTTCAAATCAGGAGATCCATGAGGAAAGCAATTTAAAAAGTAGCTAGGCAGAGCTTTTTAACCAAATCATGATACTTAACAAGTTTGATTACCTGTAAGCTTTTTGCCGTCCAACTTTTGATTTCATTGTGGTTTTTTACTTGTCATTGCAGTTATTGCACAGCTGAGACAAAAGCTTGAAAAATTACAGAGCAGCAAACTTCCAGAAAGTTTTAGAGTTCCATATGATCCTGGCCTAAGAGCAGGAGCCCTGGTGGTAAGTATACTCTGAGTTTCTGAAAATCCTTTTTAAAAAAAGTGTGTTTGCAAGTATGTGTCATTTGGTAAAAAATCTTGCTAATATGTCTAAAGGTCTTATTTCAGTGTAAATATGATGCCATTTCATGGACTCAGTAAGTTTTTGTTCCCAGAGCTATTACAATTTTCCTAAGTGTAATGATATGCCACCATGTGCTACAAAAAATGCAACCCATGAAATTCTAATCATTAAACGGCAATTATAATTTTTCCATTAGTTTAATCCAGTGAAATGCAGTGAAAGGAAATTGGATCATGCATTTGCTATGCAATAGGAGGTGTGCGTAAAGAGGCACAGTGAAGATCCTTGGAGTCACTTGATGTGCAGCAAGGACCCCACAAGAAAAGAATCCCTTGATTTTTCTCTTAGCCAAGGACCATCCAACTTAAGGAATTGCTGAATAGCCAGGTACTCATTTGGATATTAGGTATCATCAGGTCTAGATATGGCCATGTTTCTGTTAAATAAACCTATGCCTTGGCAAACAGGCTATAGGCTCGTCTATCTTCAAGCTGAGAGAATTAAACACTTCCCAGTTGTGCATGGCTGAGGTACTAGTCTAAACCAAGTATTAGAAGCAAAATCAGTGCGTTTCTAGTAAGTTCAAAGATTTAAAAACTTCTTTCCTTTTTGAAACCAAGGGTGGTAAAAACTGTTTTGCTTTAAACTGCAGGCTCAGAACTTCAGTTTATGAAATGTGAATATTCTAAAATACTCATCTCCTATGTCATCTCTCTCTATCAGCTCTCAAACACTAATGTGCAGTTGCTTATTTTTTTGTTTTAGATGGCTGTATTGTACATAGTAATGTTCAATGATGAATCAGGAATTCCAGAATAGAAAGTGTTGTATACTGCAGTTGTATTATCCATAATTACTGGAGAAAACATTTGAAGTAATGCAGTTTCAGTCATTGCAGTGCTGAATTTATCAAGATTAAAAATGTAATAAAATTAGGGAATTAATTTTCTTATTTTACGAATTATTATGTTACATTAGTTTCAAAAATGCCATTTTCTCCATGAATTTGACCAATTTGCTAAGGGAATTGAGTCAAGCAATATGGAATGTAATTGCTAGGAGTCACAAGGGTGGATAATGTGGTAAATTGCATTGGACAATGATTATGTTCCGGTTTTGCGAAGCACCTGTTGAAGTCCTGTTTTGAGGGTCCATATTTGCCAGTTTTGTCAGAATCTCTATTCCTGATTTAAATCTGTCTGAAGCAGATTTACATGCCAAATCCAGTTTTGGAGAGTCAAGATACACTTTTTCCTTTATCGTGGGCAGTGGTTAAAAGTTGTGCAGGTTCAGAAGGGCTTTATATGGCAATTGAACACTGTTCCTTACATGTACTTTCAGTGTGTTTTTTGTGGTATAATTGATTGGAAGTTGATAAACTATTCTGTAGCTGCTGTGTAAAAAGGTTAGTTGGAGTACAATGGCTAGCAAGCAATAAATGTGTCTTTCACAGATAGAAAAATGTAAAGTAATGGCATCTAAGAAGAAGCCCCTCTGGCTTGAGTTTAAATGTGCAGATCCAACAGCTCTGTCAAATGAAACCATAGGCATAATCTTCAAACATGGAGATGACCTCCGTCAGGACATGCTCATTTTACAGGTATGATAGCTAAAACATATAAAGTGAATAATGTGAATATTTTAAAATACTTTAACATAATTTTCCTTTTCAAAAGTGTATGTACCTTATCTTTACTGTCCATTTGAAATATGAGGTTGTCTTTTGTTTTTTAAATTGTGTATGGCAAGATTCTTATCAACATTGGATCATCTTTCTTGTACTGCAGTTTCTTATGTTACTGTTTTGTGGATTAATGCCAGTGGGATGGGGAAAGAGGAAAGGAAGAGTGAAAGCAAGAAAACTTGTGGGTTGAGCTAAAAATTGTTTAGTAAGCAAAGGAGAAGTGGAAGAAAAGAGAAAGAAAACAAAAAGTGATGCTAAGGCAGTCAGTCACCACATCCCATGGGTAGAGCAGTGTCCAGCCAGTTCCTGCACAGGGGATGGTTAACCTACCTAACCCCCTTTCTCCCTCTTGTATTGCTGAGCATGGTGTATTACTTTGGTTGATTTGAGTCATCTGCCTGGCTGTGTCCCCTCCCAGCCTCTTGTGCCCTCCCTGATCTAGTCACAGTGAGGCAGAGCGAGGAACAGGCAGCACTGATGCTCAGCAAACACTCTTCAGCAATAGCTGGGACATCAGTGTGTTCCCAGTATTGCTTTGGTCACCAGCCTAAACCTCAGCACCATACAAGCTGCTCTCAAGAAAATGAGCTTCATCCCAGCCAGACCCAGTCCATAATGTAACCCTGTTTTTTCTTGCCATATGCCATACATCACATCTGGGTGTTCTAGAGATGGAATCTTACTTCGTGAAAGATGGCCTGTTTTTCTGATGAAGCATTTTTATCATTTATTTATGCAATGGGTGAAGTTAAATGAAAAAGAAATTGGTAGGTAGCATTACTGTAGTAATATTTCAGTGATTGTTATGAAAACTGGTTTGTTAGTACTTTTGGGGATATTTATGGGGAAAAATGGACATACTTACTAATGTATTCAACCTCACAGCATATGTAGAAATTATACAATATATTTATTAATACTATAAAGGGGTAGAGATTGCCCAGTCACAGGACAGATGAGAAATACAAACTCTGGTTCTGTAACTGATAATCTTGAATGGCTGCACACTTTCTGTATTTGTCTCTTAATTTGTCCAATAGCCATGTAAGTTTAGCCCCATCTCAGAAATCTGGTTAGTGTTATTTGTATGAGTAATACGTAACATTCAAATAATCTGAAATAACTTAGCATATACTTTTTTTTTTTACTAGATTCTTCGAATTATGGAATCCATTTGGGAAGCAGAATCCTTGGACCTCTGTTTGTTACCATATGGTTGTATTTCTACAGGGAACAAAATAGGTATGTGATCACACTGTAATTAGAAATTCAAAATATCATATTTACCGAAGTCGTGTATGGGAGAACTAATCTAATATGTACTGTAGTCCTAAGATAAATAGAACTTTATTACATTTTCTTTGAGCAGCCTTCGTTTGCATCTTGGCAGTGGTTTCTGCCCTTCTGATGAATGTCCTTGAGCTGCTGCACCAGCTTAACTGTGGTTCCTGTGCAAGTCCAACTGCTTGGGTGATGCTGCAAGTTTCTCTTTAATAACAATATTTAGTAGGAAACAGCGGTGAAAGTGAGTGACTTATTCAAGACACGATTTAATGTGTTGATAAGAATGAAACAGAGAAAAGAGCAAAACATCTACATTTTTTTCCTGACTTGAAGCTTCATACCCTATACTACATGGAAGCAACAACGTGATGATCTATTTTTCAGAATTCATAGTGAGAGAAATCAAGTAAGAAATCCCAGTAAAATAAAGAACTCTTTTTAATATACGTCTGTAATGCACTTGCTCTCTAAAATCCATTGGCAAATAAAATTTCAGCATATCTCAGCAATGCAGGAAACCGAAACTCACTGATAAAATACCTGGTAGTGTGACATAAGAGGGTTTCCTTTCTCCTAATATAAATGTTGTAGAATTGAATAATACATATTGATAGAATTTTAATAATAAAGGAAATGGAACATTGTAAATCAGAATACTAATTAAATATAAGGAGGATTGGGTTTTTTTCCTCTTTTAAATGTGGTAAATTTTTTAGAGAGATTTTTAGGATTTTGTATGATTTTGTTTAAAATCATCTTAAGACAATGTAATTTATTGAAAAAATGGAGGAAGAAAGAGAAGTTCTGCTAGTGATCTCAGCATTCTCATATTCAAGCTACAGACTTAATTATTTCATGAATTCTTAATTGATTCCCCATTCCTTTGTCTCTTTAAGGAAATAATTTTTTATTTTCCTATATGCATGGAAGAGATGTAAGAATTTAGCCTCCTTTTAGCACCACAATAGGGGCATGGTTAATCATGTAAACACTGCTGCTTGGCTTGCGGGAATACCTGCAGCCTAAATTAGTAATACCCGATGTTGGACACTTTGATGTAGAGCTTATGCTTGTTTGGAACAAAACCAAAGAGTAGTGGCATGCAAATGTTCTTTCACAATATTCACATGCAGTCTTCTTACAAGCTTCTTCTTCCCTCCCTCCTAATATTTCCATGGAACTTGGGCAGTTTCTGTGTATTGACATAAGGACAGTATCCCATGCTACACTGAGCACAGGGTGAAACAGGTGTCTTACACCTGGGGCTGGCATCCCCTCCCTTGTAGGGCTTTCTCAGTCTGTTAAAGACATCTCCATTCAGTGCAGTTTGTTTTGGAAACATGTGTCCTCTCCACTGCTGCTGCCAAATAGACTTCTGCTCTATAGGAGGAATTTTCTCTTCTATGTATCACTAGTAAAAGATCATACCCTGTTCTCCCTCCCTTTGAGCATCTGTATGTTCCTAGCTCTGCGAGACAATTATCACTACTTACTGTGCTGCATCCCTGCCGAATTTCAGGGCAGTTCAAGCTGGCTCTTAAAAAGTCATCTGCTTTAGTACCACAGATCCCCAGAAACCCATCGCATAGTGCATTTACTGCTGCACTTCCTCCCAGCCGAATGCAGCCCAGCTGAGGACCTCTGTCCTAGTTAGAGAAGATGCCTTCTGCGCCAGCTCTGCGCCCCCGGAATCAAGGAGCTGTTGGCCGGTAGAGGGAGATTTCTGAGCACAGGCAGGGAAAACCTTTTCAACAGCTGGAATGTGATCTGGAGCTCACTCCCGGGAGAAAAACAACAACTTGGCAAGCACGGACCAAAATGCAGAGCTTTTTAATTTGGTGGTCTTGATGGTGGGTTTCAGAGGTCATATTTCCACAATAGTTTTATTACAAACAAATCCAGGCCACTGTCAAGACAGAAGAGATACCTTCAGGGAGTATTCAACCATGAATTCAGTCATGAGTGGAGGGCAGGAAGAGATTACTGAGTTGTTATTCTGTGACTGAAAAATTTGCACATAATGCAGTAATTGCAAAAAGGAAAAAGGTCTGTGAATAGAAATAAATTGATCTGTTTCAGAGAGAGTCAAACTGAAACCAAGTCAGAAACTGCTTTGAATCGCTTTGAGGAGAAAGGGATATTTTTCTTTGCTTGCTCATCTCTGAGCTGGACCTGAAGCTAGAAGACACTGTTGAACTTGAACCAGAGGAGGAAAATAAAATGTTGCCAATTACCTCATAACCTCAACTAAAATCTGACTTCCCCCCCCATGCACGTGTGCCCAATCCAAGGGCAGTCTGTATTTGCTAGTCTTGGCTACGGTGTAGAGTTGTGTTGCAGTCTCTGTTCCTGCATTTCCCTCTAGCTTCCCCTACATCACATGCCATGTTGTCATGGACAGTATGAGGCCTTGTTTCTGCACCACGTTGCTGTGATGTGCCAATTTGCCTTGGCGAGGGTCTGTTCAGTTTTAGGACAGACCTGTGAGCCCTGACAGCCAGAGCTTTCCACCAGCAATCTCATTGCCATTCCTCACTGTGTACTGGTATTTCTGAACCTTTCTGTGTATATGAACACTGAAGCTTAAGTTGGATTTACTGCAGGATGGCCAGCTCTGTTCCTCTGCCACAGCCCTGGCAACACTTGCATCTCTAGACTGCTGCAACACTGAAGCTTTTCTTCAGCTCCTCATATTTGTGAAGTTGGAGAGAAGCTGCAGAGAATGTGAATGGGGCTCAGGACAGGAGTAGTTCCTCTCCTGGGGAAAAGCCTTATGCAGAGGATCCCCACTCATCATGTGATACTTTCCATTTTAAAAGAGGAGGATTGTAGGATGCCAGGCTATTTATGAGCTCTGGCTGGTTTCAGCTGGAAATGAACAAGAACCATTGTTGCTTGTAAAATGAATCTCTGCTCACAACCTATGAAGTTCTGTAGTCAATTTTAAAACCCAGTTTAAAATTTAATTTTGTATATTTTTAATATGCTTTGATATAAATTCAGTAACTTCTTCTAACTTCTTCCTTACTTTCTCTAGGAATGATTGAAATTGTGAAAGATGCTACAACAATTGCCAAAATTCAACAGAGCACAGTTGGGAACACTGGTGCATTTAAGGATGAAATACTAAACCAATGGCTCAAAGAGAGATGCATGATTGAAGAGAAGGTGAGTTCTTTGAATTTTTAAGTAGGATTTTCAGATGTACCCTACTGATTTAGGGGCATAGAGCCCATATGTTTGTGTTTGTTACTTACAGGAGTTTGAAAAATCCATTTGTTTTCCCTGCACTCAGCTGCAGGTGTCTGTGAAAGAGCCTTAGCATCCAGCTGGCAGCCAGACTCCTGAGAGACAAGATGCTTTTGAAATTACTTCTTTGTCAATGGAAGTTAGAAGTGATACATGAGGAGAAGATTGAAAGGACATCTAAGAACACTGAAAGTCAGTGTAGTTTTAGAGGATTTAGATACAGTTTTGGGTATTCACAAGTCCTTTGCTTGGGCAGGTCCAATGACCAGCTAGAGCTTTCTGCCAGCTTTTCTTCCTCGGAATGTGTGAGCAACTATATACTGCTTTTCTTTGTGCTGAGAGAGAGAGCCTGCTCACACAGCACAGGGCGTGCAGTGCGGGGCTGTGATCGTGATCTCTGCTGTGCAGCAGTGTGTTTTATAAGACAGTTTGTCTAACTGCTGATAGATACATGTCAACAGAAAGGTACATAACTGAGAATTATTGCATTTAGTGTCTAGCATTGAAGCATTTGTCAACTCTAAGATTTATTTTTAGTTTCAGGCAGCTGTGGAAAGATTTGTTTACTCTTGTGCTGGATACTGTGTGGCAACCTTTGTACTTGGAATAGGTGACAGGCACAATGACAACATCATGATTACAGAAACAGGTGGGTTATTTTGTGAGAATTTCATGGAAGTATAGACTGTCTATACTTAACTACCTTTATTTTTCATTTTAATGAATAAGGCATTTAACAAATAATGAAGAGACACAATCCAGTTCTGTCAGTGTTGCTTACATGTTCGGGTCCTCCTGTGACATTGAAATGTATTGTCACCCCTGTTGGCCTTCATACAGGCTCTAGATATTATCATTAATAATGCCATTATTTTTCAAGGAGCATTTTGGTACAAACTAACTCATGAGGAATGTAAAACAATGTTTTTTAGTGTCTACATCTAAAATCTAAACACCAGAAAAACTTCATAAAGCAGACAGCTATTCACCTGCTGATGTGTGGATGTGGTTCTGACAGAATTCAGTGGAACTGTATGTCAGAATTCAGATGTTTACACTTCTGAGGAACATAATTGCTTTATGTATTGTAAAAAAATCCTAGGAAATAAGTGTACATGGAGTGTATTGGTTTTGCTGCTAAAGTCTGGGGGAAAGTTGCAATCCTTCTGAAGAAAACCACAATTTTTTTGTACTATAAACTTTGACAATTGTTTCTGTAGCTGCACATTGTTTCATACTAATTTTACTTACCTATGGAAGTCCCGGGAAGGACACCAGAACGGGCAGTACATATGGAGAAGTTTTATTTGGTCTAAGGAATTCACTTTTAGTTTCATGATCCTCTTGCTTCATAATTAGTCTGTAGGAAAATTAGGAAAATACTTTAGGGCTTAGTTAGAAGGCTGGATATGTAATATTCATCATATGATAGCTAAAATTTTGCCAGTTTGCTAGAGAGAAGTACCCTGAAGGCAGAAATTAGCTAATTGAAGACTACAGTAAAAAAGTTCAGCAGAAGTCCTTGAGGAAAAGACAACAAAAGAATGCTTTAATTTCAACATTATATATAATATAATACAGTGTTAGTTCCTATAGGCTGAACATGAGTCATAGGTCAGTAGACAGAGAAGCAGAGAAGTGTTATTCTGCTATGGTCAGGAGCAGGTTTGCCTTTGAGTCTTTTATGGGGGCTATCTTAAGCCTGAGAAGCGAGAAGGATGTCAGTCTGAGAGGTCTGCAGGGAGTCAGATTTGGTAGGTTGGAGGAACTTGGAAGCTGGCTTAAAATAAGGATTTTCCACCTACAGATCACTCACTCCTAAGTATCATCTTACATAATTTGATGTTTTATATTTTTTTATTCATGTGTCACTGTTACAAATCTGTGTTTTTAAGTAACCATATTCTTTTATCCTTAACCTGGCTGCCAGGGAAAGTAATGAAGTAATCTGAAGAGTAGCAGCAAATTCCAGTCCTGTAGATGTAGAGATCCTTTAAAGGGAAGTTTTTCATTGCTTTTGTGGGAACTGATACCCTACTGCTCTCTCAAAGCTATCAGAAGGGGTGACAATAGAGAGTTACTCTGCACATAGAGTGATTTAGAGATTGCTAATGCAGGTCTGTGAGGAAGAAGCATGTTGTAGTCAATGACGTATACCAAGGAGATGGGTAGTACCAGAATCCCATGGGTATTTGAAACAACCCTCAAGCCTTTTCCGTGTAGTGATGCCCTGATTGTTTTGGATCTGAGACACAGGCTTTCCTTGGTTGATTTTTGAAAAGCTGTGAGTGTATATTTAGAAAATACAACAGCTCTGCTGGGTTTTTAACAACTACCAAAGATAAATAAAAAGTAATTTTGTCAAAAGGATAGAATTATCTATTTCAAGAAAAAAAAAGAGAGAAAATTGTCTTTTCTGCTGAACTAAAGAGTGATCATATATATCAAAAAAGAGGGTTTGGAACTACTGTAAATACAAGTAAGTGTTCTTGGCAGTGTATTGTATTTGAGTGTGACTGTGACTACTTCTTCTCTTTATGAAGGTAACCTTTTCCATATTGATTTTGGTCATATTCTTGGGAATTATAAAAGCTTCCTTGGAATTAATAAGGAGAGAGTTCCTTTTGTGCTGACTCCAGATTTCCTGTATGTCATGGGGACTTCCGGAAAGAAGACAAGTCTCCATTTCCATAAATTTCAGGTAAAAGAATGAGTATCTAGCTGCAAATCAATTAAGCAATGTTTTTTTTATCCTCTGAAATGAACATTAGCGCCTTGGTTTTCAAAGGTCTAGGCTCCTTGGCATTATGTTAGTAAAATGCAATGAATCATAATACAATTCCGGGATATTTTAGGCCCAATTAAGAGCAAAAATTATTTGTAGGATTATGGGAAATAGAATTCAAACATCTACAAAACCACATTGAAAAGCTTGTTAGCAGCAGACCAGATAAGCAGTGCTTTCATTGTTTCTTGCCTAGATTGAAAATACTTTGCAGAGGACTTCAGTGCTTGTGAAATTAGAGGAAATTCATGACACTAAGCAGAGCCTCTGTGTAGTGCGAGCAGGTGTGAGGCATTCCTCAGCTGGCTTTGCTAGTGATTCCCTACTGATTCTGCCCTCAAGTTTTAGTGCTCAGACTGCTGCATCTGAATAAAAATCTGTAGTGACCCTAAACTATGTTAGATGCCGGTTTTGTGAAGTGCATGGATAGATTTTAACTCTGAAAGAAAAGAATGGTGTTAAAAATCTATTCAATTGCAGCTTCTATTTGAAATTGAGCACTTCCAAAACAGTTGTGATTATTCAAGCTACTGTAGGACCTGGGCAAAGAGGGAGCAAAGCAAAATGCTGTTCAGCGTGTTTAATGAAGTGGTTGAGAGCATGGCTAGTCTGAAGTAAATGTATGTCTGCGGTGTTATTCCTGTGGTCATCTTTAGAGGCTTCAAATAAGTGCCTGATTTAGAAAGCAGGTTCCTTACAATATCAAAAGAATAGTCTCCTGCAGAGTGTGAGTCAAAGCAAAAGCCTAACTTTTATGTTCTGGATTTGCTGTGGGTGAACCATTCCCAGTCAGGAGTCTGGTTTTCTAACTTGAGTACCTAATTAAGATTCTCACTGTTGGATGGTGACTATGTCCCTTTGAACATATACATGATTATATAGCAGATCTGGGTCCTACACACACATCCTCTCCCTTGCAGTTGTCTATGATGAACAGTGTGAACTGTCCTAAGATAAGAACACGAGGTGGGTCCTCTCTGTAACTACTTTAGCATTGTATCTCCTTAAGTGACCGGATCTCAGCACTTTTACTCACTCGTACAAAAGTGAGTGTTCCCCATTTAACAGCTGAGCATACCCTGCAGGTGTCCCTGCCAGGGGTGGAAGCTGCCTGCAGCCTCAGGAGACCAGTTTGCCCAGTTGGCCCAGTTTTTATACCCTTTTGCAGGATGATGTGTACCAAAATCAGAGCATGTGTACCAAAGTTGATCGCAGTCATCGCTGCTCCCCCATCTCTGGAATGCATTCATTGTGTGAGCATCCAGACAGTTCCCCCTGCAATTCCCATCTGGTATTCTTATCTTAGGACAATTCCCACCTGGTATTCTTATCTTAGGACAAATCACATTGTCCACCAGAGGCAGTCACAAGGTGGGGGTGCGGGGGAAGGACCCACGAGAAGACCCGACTGTCTTTTCATTGAAGTCACTGCCCACACTTCTGAAAATAACTGAAGAACCAAGTGCAATATTTGAGTCTTCATTTTGCAAGGACTAGCTTTATCACAGTGCAAGTGTTTTGAAGGGGGCTTGTAGCTCAAAAGATTTAAGGATGGGAAGGGGATGCTGAGCCCGTGCTCTCAGAGAAGCCTGTGAGCTGTGCTGCCTACAGGAATGATGCTGTTGCTGCAGATGTAGCCATGTGCAAGTGAGGGGCTGAAACACCACTCTGAGGTGTGTTATTTCAAAGAAGACCTCTTTTCTGGAAGCAGAATATGGTTCAAGTGTGAAAGTGGACTTTCAAACAGAGTTGAAAGACCTGTTGATGTCTTCAATGAAGTAAAGTTGTGTTTGTATATGTGGATCATCTGGCTCTTTAGGGAATATCCGACGTTTACTTCAGCAGCCCAAATGCCAAAAGCAATTGGAGGTGATTTTGGTCTCAGCTTCTCTTCAATATATCATGCCTCCATCACCCTGCTTTGGATTTGACTAAATACACATTTTGTTACTCTGGTACTAATTCTAAAATTAATTTCTAATTTCATCCCACTAATGCAGACATTTTAGGAATGCTGTGATAGCACCACTGTCATTTCTGTTAGTGTCATTAACCAGATAAAAGGTGATAAATGTGCCTTGCCTTTGAGAGCTGTGACCATGGTATGTGGCCCGGGCATTTTAAGTGAGATGATTTAGGCATGGGCAACAATAAAGTCACCAAAAAATATAAGTTCATATATAGTTCTGCTGCAACAGCTACTGTTTATAAACCACTATGGTAGTACATTAAAAGGCTTTTCCGTCTCAAAGACCAGTAAAAAGGAAGTTAAAATACTTTCATACAAGCAAAATAGTAACATAGAGCAAGATCTGCATCACATATTTTGCTATAAAAAAGGTATGTGTTAATTACATGGCCAGAGTAAAAAAAATAAAGAAAATTATAGTTTCACTTTTCAACTAACTCATTTCATTATATTTCCTAATATTGAGGGATTCATTCAGCGTGCCTGCTGACTCATTCATGTATTAATGGAAAAGTCTCAGCATTTATCCTTCATTAATTTTTAAGAGCATCTCTCATTATTTTGTACTTTAGCTACATTAAAAGAGGTTGTACTTCAGAAGACTCCTTTGTTTTTTAAAGGCTTTGGTGTTTTTAATAACTTAAAATATCTACTTTTTAAAAATTTTATTTCTCTGTTACTGATTAGACACAGTCCATACAGATGTAGCCATAGCTCATACTGCAGGCACCAGAGGTTAAAATGACGATTAATTTTGTCTGGAATTCACTGCAGAAGAGTATAGTTTGTTATCAGTGAACTTCTGAGGCTGTCAATGGCCTGGCAACCTTTCTGGAACTAGCAATGAAGCTCCTTTCAATAGAAAGTTCTTAATCTAAATTTTGTTTCCATTTTTGTTTGTGTCCATTGTGATGGTTTAATGAAAATTAGAGGCCAGAGGTTATTAATGACATCACAGAAATGCTTAGTAGGAAGCACTGTTTGATGGGCTTTTGTCCTCATTGCAAACATATATTTAAGCATAACTTAATCTGAGAAGGTAAGTATTTTTCTCTTTTGTCTATGAATTTTTCAGCTGCCTTAGTACTGCCCAGATTTCTCTTGCTGTGTCATATGTGGTGGCATTTCCTTTCCAACCTTTGGCTGAAACCCATCAACTCTCTTACTCCAATGAACACATAACTTTTTCACTTCTTACTTTTAGAAGCCTTTGAGAAAGCCTCATCTGAGATCTTCGTAGTCTTTTTTGTGCTTTGTCCACCAACCTATTAATAATTTGCCTAAAATTATCTTTGATAGTTTTTATATTAAATTTTTTGCATTAAATCATGCGTTTTTATTGATTATATTTAATTTACTTAATTCATTTTTTTTTCATTACTCTCCTGACTTGGTAGTACAGAGATCTGTATTTTCAGTACAAACTCTTCTGTTTCTTTGCAAAATCTCATGTATTTGATTGTCAAACAAAGGTGATAAAAAACTGAAGGGTAGACAATTCATCATTGAAAAATACTTACTTGGAATATACTGTGCAGGGAAGAGATGTAACAGAATTTGGACACTTTATATTACAAAAATGCCTGAATTTTAGGATAGTAGTATTTAGGACAGTTTCAAGCTCTCAGAATAATTATTCTTTATCGTTTATTGGACAGTGGGATTTTGGTTTTTTCCTCACCTCCTCTCATCTTGCCTATGGCTTTAGATTAGTTAGTAGCTTTCTTCTTAATCCCAGGGTAAACATGCACATGTCCTTGACACATATGGACTGTCTGTGTTATTTTTGCTTCTCTCTGCCTCTCCCAGAAGTGTAAAAATTCATTTTCTTGGAAGATCCTAATTCAAAACTACATTAAGTTCTTGTCTGAATAAATAAGTGTAACAGGCAGATGCAGATTTTTCAAATCTTTTGAATTCCTAGAAGGACTGCCTTTGAGATGCAGTGATGCCAGGTTCTTTTTGACTGCATAATTGTTTTTCTCTCTCAGACACCCAGAGCAGAGATGCATCATCCATACAGAAATGTAAAACCTTCTTTGGTGTAACTATAAAGAGCTTTCATCTCTTTCAAAGGGAACAAAACACAGACTAACTCTTGTGACAAGATTTCCCTCTTTGAAGTTGATAATGCATAAGTAAAATATCTTTTTCTTTTTTTTCTTATTTTTCTCCTGATGTCATGGAGAGAAACTATTCCCCGTGATAAGATGATGGTGTTTTCTGTTGTAAATTGTACTTTGACCATTGCAATTTATCTTCTGCTTTGCTAGAACATTGGAGTTCATAAATATGATCTTATTTCAGGACAGAATTTTTTTGGAAACAGTGAGGAATTTAAGTTTCCAGGCAATAGGAAAAAAAAAAGAAATTGTACAGACAATTCTTCAATACATCATCTTCCTTCCTTAATATCTTCCTGACCTGTCTGGTTGGGTGTCCTGGTGTTGCTGATGTGAACAGTGATAGATGTTAAGATTATTTGTGCACATCTTCCTGTATCAGAGGATGAAAAAACCCACACATCTTGTTAAATAAAAAAAAAGCATTCTAGAGGGCTGATGGGATTTGATGGAAGTTTACATTAAAATATTTAGATTTCCTAAGAATTCTTCAATAAATTAATATACAGTTGTGGAAAGGTTAAATTGAATATTTAATTTTGTAAAAATTAGCATTGCTTCAGCTTTGGTTTTATTAATAACAACCTTCATAGAGATATTTTTCATGGTTTTACATTTCTGCATTGCAGGCCTAGTTTCTACTTGATTGATGATTGATGTCTTTGTTGCATTGTTCTTATTTCTAATAGTAAATGAGTAATAAATTTAATAAAAGAAATAATTTCAGTTTATATGTTAGTCACTTATCATTAAATATTATTTTAAAAAAGCATTGCATGTTTTTCCAGGCTGTAGATATTTCATTCTTCTAAAGGTTATGTTGTTAAGCACAGATTATTTATACATGGAAATGAAAATGCTATAAAAAAAGTCTGTGGAATCCAGTTTGACAGTACATAAAGATAGAAGTCCTACAGCAAGGCAGAGTGCCTGAAGACTAGAGCTGTCAGCTGGAAATATTTCTTAGAACACCAGGCCTGAAAAATCTTCCTCGTTAAATAAACTGTCACCACTGCAAAGTTAATAGACATCTATACAAAATGAAGAGCAGTCCCCTGCTTTATCCAGTATCATTTTCCAGCCATGGTCTTTAAATGGGAACATCCCAGTTGGAAAGGAAGACAATGACTTATTGCTGTCTCTTTTAACAGCCACAGGAGATTATATGGCAAGGAAATTAATTTGAGATCTTGGTGAAGCTGAGGTTTTTAGTGATTAATGTATGGTTAGGAAGAGCTGTTGCTTTGTACACCAAAACAGCACTCGTTGCCCCAGTGTGGGGTGATGAATGAAGTCACACTGAACACCAGATGCAGAGGTGAGCAGGTCATGTCTCTGCTCAGGTGAGTGGCTCTGTTGGGTCTCCTCCCTCTGACATAAGTGATTGAACAGCACTGGTTAATGGGAGTCCTGTGAAATTCCTGCCCAATCCCTCTCTGCTCTTCTCATTAATTAACAAAAAACTCTTCTCTCTCGTAGGACATATGTGTGAAGGCTTACTTAGCTCTTCGACACCACACAAACCTGCTGATCATCCTGTTCTCCATGATGCTAATGACTGGAATGCCCCAGTTAACCAGCAAAGAAGATATTGAATATATCAGGGATGCACTGACAGTAGGGAAAAGTGAAGAAGATGCCAAAAAGCATTTCCTTGATCAGATAGAGGTTTGCAGAGATAAGGGCTGGACTGTGCAATTTAACTGGTTTTTACATCTTGTGCTTGGAATCAAACAAGGAGTAGAAAAGCATTCTGCTTAATATTTTATATAAATTAGCTGTGGGTGTGAATAAGAGGTTAGTGAATCTACGTGTTATTTATGAAGTCTGAATAAATGAGCAATCAAAATAGCCTTTAATTTGCTGGCAGCTTAAATGGATCATCTAAAAAGGCAAGGACTTTGCTCTGTCCCTCCAGAAGATCTTCCTGCAGTTAATTTTTTTTTTTTAATTTTTAACGACACTTCAAGTTGCTGGATGGATTCTATGAACTAGTTGCTTTGCTGATGGGGCCTGCATTTTTCATGTTTTCTTTGGTAATAATTTCAGATAAATATGAGGAGCTTGAGTGAAATGATAACCTACAAATCCCCTGTGACATTACCTTAATTTTCAAGTCCTTCAAAACCAGAAGAATTTATTTATAATCTATGGTTATAGTAAAATCCCTGTAGGCAGTCCATGCCTGTCTCAGGATGACTTACACTCAAGTGTTCTTAACCAACATCCTTCTCTTGTCCCTTCCTCAACATTTGTCCTTTCTGGACTTTTAATATGTTGTCAATAGAAAAGAGCTTTGGTTCTACCACTGGAGGAAATTGCCTTACTGTTACTGTAGCCTCCTGACACAGACAACTGAGCTTGACTGTCCTTCCTGCCAGGACAACTTCATAGTTACCTGGAAGTTCCTCAGGTTTGAACATGAAATTCTGAAGGTTTAATTTCGAAAGATTTTTTATTGTACTTTTTAATGGTGAACATCCATATTATGTTACAGATTCTGTTCTTACTGTAAAGTTATTACAATTTCACCTGTATAGTAAAAGCTTTGTAGGAAAAGCAGTGGTAATTCCTTATCCCTCAGAGAAAACTCCTTATATAAGAGTAATTGACATTTGACCAAATATTTGAGAAACCCAAAGTTATTTATTCTTTGGCAATATATTTTCAGGATATACCTAGAAGGAATTAAATGTAATCTTTGAAATTGTGTATATTTTGCTATTTATTTTTAAATTCCTTAAGAGACTATACTACTGAAAAGCTATTTATGAAAGAAAAAAATCCTTATCTTTAGTTCCAATATTTGAACTTAAAAGAGGAGAAAATGGGCAGTGTTAAGTAGAATTTTAACTTCTCTACTGTAGGATGCCTGCAAATCATCAAGTCTGCCTATGGTAGGAAAGGAAAAAAGGTATAGCCTGAATTAGTCTTTAACTTGAATTATTATGGTATACTTCCTGCTAGTTGATTTTTACCAAAGAGAGAAGATGGCTTACAATATTGCTTTTTTGCACTTGTGCCCATGTAATTTCTTGCTTTATTGTAGTGTTACATGGGCTTTACATTACATATAAATGATTAACTGAATTTTTTTAATTCTGTTATCATTTGCTTTGATCATTTCTCAGAATAGTTATTATTTTAAATACTGTTACTACTGAGTGCATTCTTGAAGGATTTTTAATAAATGTACTGTAATTGGTGTCTCAGTTATGAGATGTAGCCAATCTATTCTTGAAATGTAGATGTTTAATTGGTTACTGTGCACAACTATTTTTTATGTATATGGTAGACTCTAGTTAAGGAAATCTGTAAGGTTAAAATGTAGACTGTTTTGTTGTTCTGATACATTATTATTCTGTGCAAGGCTTAAGACCATACTAAAATGTAAACTAAATGGTGAATATTGTCTGTAAAATTATGGTTTTAGATTTGTATTTTATAGATCTGAAATAAATGGACATGTTCTATTCATTTGATTATTATTTATGAACAAGCAGCTTAGCCCAAAATACATGTAAATATTTTTTATCCAGTTTCTTAAAGACTATTTAATCTCAGTTAGAAATCATATTCAAAGTCCCACTCAGAGGAATTGATTTAGCTCCACATTAATAACTCTGTACGATGTCAGATATCTTAAATTTTAATAGTGTATAGTATTAGAATTGCAGTTATTGTAATTGTAAAATTTGAATAGAATATTGCCACTTTCTAAGAGCACTTTATTAATTCCTGGTTTGTTCTATAAAGAAAGATCAGAAGATTTTAGTAAGTTCCTAATTTCAAAAACTAAGTAGATCTACTGCTAAATTTAACTCTAGCATGGGGAAATAAATGCTAATCACAACTTCAAGGGAAATGGCGCTCTTGAAGCAGGAAAAAGTCTATGAGAAATCTGTACCCGAGGAAAGCAGTTTAGTGCAGGACTAAACTTAGGCTGATGATTTTTATCAGCACTTTACAATGGGCTGTATTGAATTGTATACAATGTTTGTTACACACATCTGGAGCACCTCCGTGCTGAGCTATTTGCAGACTCTTCATTGCTTTCCTTGCCCATGTAGCCTATGGTTGGGCTGCCTGGGCAGTGCTAGGCTGCCTTGTGTCTTCTAAGTGCTGGATGTTTGCCAGTCTGACTTCTGGAGCTGCCAAATCTCCTTTTTACCTACAGAGCAAGCCCTGGGCACTGGCCCTGTGCTTGTACACAGCTGCACATTCGTACGGCTGGTTATCGGTTGGATTTCATGTCCCTCTGGAAACCTCCACCCACAATTGACTTTGTTTCTGGCAAGCCCTGACACAAGGGAGAAACAGTACAGAGATGTGGTTTGAGGCAGTGCAGCTTCCAGGTGGAGTGGAACTGCTTTTCAGGTGAGGAGGTGGGCATGAGTACACATCTGCATGTCCCAGTGCAGAACGCAGCCATCCCTGTCTGCAGTGGCAGCTACATACCCAAGGCCTGGAGAGCTGGAGCTTTAGCACAGACGCCACTACCAGAACAGGAGGCTGAACCAGAATTTCCTGCGTCTTCCAGTGCATAAACACACTGACCCTTCAGAATAGCTGGGTTTTAAGGGCTATAAATCAGGAGATGTAAATTAGTCACTAACCACGTTTTTCAGAGGCTCTAACACAGCATGCAGAGGGGTCTCAATTATCATCGTTGTCTCCAGACAGTTTTAAGATTATTTTTTGAAAGTTGCTTTTAAGGGCTACTTTGTCTTTAAGATGTGTTATATTTTCTTGGTAGCCTAATTCACGTTACTACTGCACCTAACAGTGGAAATTTGAATCTATTCTTGGAGTCAGTGCCTCAGACTTGGTAGTGACTTGACATATGCTTTGGCTCCAGCAAGGTCATCAAGATGTTGGTTAGTGATGAGTGTGTCCCCAAGGCTCCATCCTAATTATATTCCAGGACAGGGAGAGAAGTTGAAATGGAGCTAAGGTGTACAGCATGATTACATTTAGATCTTCATTGAAAACACTGTTTGCACTTGTTAGAGGTATTTAATCATCATTACCAGATTATTTAGCCTCATTTAACATGTTTAACAGGTTTTTTTTTCTAAAATGTGATCAATTCTACAGAAATACAGATATGAACAACTGATTGAGAAGAATATCAGTGGAAATTACAACTCTTGTATTTTTCATTATAAACCTTTTTCTTATCTACCAGCAGCATTCTGCAAATCCACGAGTGCCAGGGATTATGTAGATTACAGACTGTGCTGATGACTTTATAATGTAGTTTGTGTAAAGTAGTCTTGAAAATCATGGCTAGGCTTCGCGAACGAAGATTTGGGAAGGGCTCTACCCACGTTTGTTGCAAGCGCGTTGGTGGTTAAAAAGACCAATACGAGATAGGCATGTTTGGTTGCAAAAGGCACAAGATAGGCATGTCTGGTTGCAAAAGGCACATGTCTTGAAAATAAGACATTATTAAAATTAAAATCTGGGATACCAAACCATCTGCAGGGTCCGTGTGCCCTTTGAGCATCCCAGTAATACTAAAGTTTCTGAAAAGCACTGATGTGCTTTCATGAATCTTCTAATTGCAACTTACACAGTGTATGTTAGAAACAACACTCTAGAAATCATTGATTCTCCTGGATAGAAGTCCGCAGGAAGAGATTCCTGCTGTGCTCACCCCACTCTGCATTTTGGAGGCAGAACTGGCCAGAAAAGGTACTAATCCATTTCTAAATTTTGTGGCACACTTGGAGAAAATAAGATTCATGCTGGAGAAGAGAAAGCAGAGAGAAAGAGAAACTGTTTGTCTGTAGTTACGTGGTTAATAACAAGGACTGACCAAAAATACAAATGACATGGTTATACCCACGTGAGGTTTGTACATACTTATGTCATTAGAGAAAAGGGGCATTGGTGACCTGTTCTAGTCTGCTGATAGGAGACAGTCAGAAGGACATGGTTTTTCCTGGCTTTTTAGCATCAGTAGGTCTCATACCCAGCAAGAGAGAGGCTGATGACCTGCCTGTTGATAATAAGCAAGTGGACAGTTAACAGGAAAAACTTCTTCCTTCCTACTCTGGGAATGGGGGTTTGTTGTTTCAGAGGGTGCCCAGCAGCACTCGGCGTGGCAAGAGCCCTCCGCAGACTGGGGAAGGCAGGGAGGCAGCATTTAGAGAAAGATGCGCCGTTTCTCAGGTGTTCTCCTGGGGATGCAAAAGAAGAGGCTGTCACTTTGGAAACAGCAGCAGCACTACCACGAACATGTGCCAGTTAATTTTAGCTGACAAAAGAGACCTGTGCATGGCAGAAGTGCTGTATGTAGGAAGTGAGAGCACATCCCACATTTGGGTGCGATCACTCTGGTGTTCAGCATCAGGAGTCACTGTTTGCAAGTGCTGGTCACACTCTCAGAGCTGCCTTTGGTCTAGTGTCTATGGCCAGAGTTTACCACAGATCCATTGTTAGGTGCATGGAAAAAAAAAAGGACAATAATAACCTTTAGATAGCAGCATTTCTTTATAAGAGAAGCATTGAGTAGATACAAAAAGAAAGGTCAAATCTAATGTAATGAAGAATACCCAGGCAAGAGCCCTGAAAGGAGAAAGAGAAAGAAAATAGAAATGTTAATGACCCGTAGTACAAAACAGTTTTAAAACTACAGCTCAGACTTTGTACCAGATTCTCCTTTGCCTTTGAATGTATCTTCCTTTATCAAAAGTTATCCTGCAAAAGGCTATGTGGGCTATGAATGTTTCATAACCTAAGAAATCTGCTCCCATAATGCAGTTCCATGATAGAGTTCATTAACAATTCAAGATATGGCGAGAGCTGAATTTTGTTCAGTATATTTACAGTTAAATAACCTGAGATTAACAATAACAACAACAACAAAAAACAAACAAAAACACAACAAACAAAAAACCACAAACAACAAAACAAAACAAAAGGCAAAGAAACAACTAGTCTAGTCCTTCTTCCCCAAATCAACCAACAAGTGTCTGGGAGTGGCATTAAACTCATCACATGAGGAAGTTATTTCCCATCATGATGGAAATGCATTTTTCTCTGAAGCATTTGGAGCTGTTCCTGTCCGGAACAGGATACTGGCCTGGACAGACTCTGTCTCTGATGCAGGGTGGCAGATGTTCTGCTCAGCTGTCAGATGTCTGCACAAAAGAATCTTGGTGAAATAAACAGGTCTCCTCAGGAAATGCTCTCCCTCCAGCCAAAGTTATCCTTCATTTTGATGAAGTTCATGACAGGATCTCTCTTTTACAAACCTGCTTCTTTTCCACAGAATATGATGTATTTTCCAAACCTTGTAAAACAGTAATTCTGCCTACCTGGAAGATAAAACACCCAGGAGATCTCAGTAACTTTTCAGAAATCTGAAACCAAACCACTCCAGGCAGGGACCTTTTGTTTCAAGGCGCTGGCTCATGCAAAGGCATTATTCTTCATGCCACCACAAATCTTGCATTCTAGGGAGATGCTAATTAACGCATGTTAATTTTTCAGAGGACTATCTTTGGGATTCTGTCATTTCAATAGCACACCAAAGCAAGGGTGAAGAGTGGCTTCTAACAAGACCACAGGCTTGAAGGTACTGTGGAGATTGCCACCAGCTTTGTGGGGAGTATGTGGCCTTCCCAGGGCAACGGGGACATGGTGACAGCAGCCCTGGCAAACATGGATGTAGAGTCAGGGTTTACGTGCCAGGATGAGCTGTGTACTCTGAGGCAGAGGTAAGCATGTTGCACTAAAGAGCAGACCAAAAACCGTTTGATGGCAGATTCTGCCCCCCTCACTCTGAAGCAGATCCCTGATCCTCTGTCTGATGAGAGACTGGCACTGCTCTCCCCTCTCGAGGGCTCTGAAGGCACAGCCGGCACCACCATCAGGGTTTAGACCTCAGCAGATACGAGTATGTTACTGAAAGGCCCTTTTACAGGATTCATGGCATTTAAGTATGTTATTTATTACTTTGTTATCATTTATTACTTTGTTATCAGGATTATTCAATGAGAATAAATGCAGTTTATAAAATCTAAACTTTCCCTTTTTTTTATCAGTAGGTAAAACCATAATATGGATGATTATCCCCTGCTGTTTTTGCTCAGGATCTTCACCCTAATTCTTCATTTCTATTCTCTTGTTGCTGTTGATTGGTCTAAACCCAGCATAGACTGTCCAGTTCGTATAGCCAGCTGAATGTCAGCAAAGGAACCAAGCATCAAAAGTACAGGTAGCTGGAGATGCTGTCAATACCTACACTGGGAGGAACTTGCTAAAAATCCTCCTGACTCTGAAAAGGAAAAAAACATCAAAAGGAATGAGGAAAAGCTGTGTGTATATGCTTCAAGGTGCAAAACACCGGAAGACCAAGCTTTTCCCAGTTTAATGCTCTGTATTTACCCTCCTGATTCCTATTATCAATGGGCTCAAGGTGGAAAAGGAACTTTATAGTGAATACACGTTTGGCTGGAAAAGTGGAT